AGAAATGTTAAAACAAAACAGAGGAAGGAACAGAAGCCCCCAGCATTAGCAGTACGTAACCAAAGTAATGAATAACTTTTGCTAAAATGGGAAGGGTCATTTGAAACCAAAGCATTGCACCTGATCTACTTGCGAAGAATATCACAGAATCATGAAAGCTCCTCAGCAGCACCATAAACCAATTGATAGAGAAGCAAAGGAGATGGTCAATGGCTTAGGAGCCTGGTAGCAATGATGGCTGAGATGAATTTTTATTTTCTAATTCGCTTATCACCATAGTTGAGGGCAGTATCAGATGATCATGAGTTATGTTTTCATTAACATGGCACAATGTAATAAGCGAAATCAATGTGAAACGGCATGGTATGTAAACAACATGGTATGAATGTCAGATATATTACGATGTGCTCATTGGAGGTATGGTTGGTTGGGTTGTTGGGGCCTAATTTGAAGCAATTGTTGGGCCCTAATTTGACATAATAAGGGGCAGTAAATTTGTAGATGTGTTGTGTGAGGCAAATAACAGATCGGTGAGCGGTGTAGTCTACAGAATCCGCAGTTTACATTCGACAACACAGAACTAAGTACATCGTAATCCAAACTTATTAAGAGGCGAACTCCAAAAAGGATTAATCTGAACTTGTTTGCATTTAAGTGAAGAAGACACATAACTGCAGGAGGTGTAAAGTTTCAGTCCATCAGGCATGTGCATGCTGTGTGAGGCATGTGCAACTCCAAAAATTAGTATAAAGGCAACAGTATGGAACCAATGTATTCACTGGTCTGACTTGAATTGATGGCCTAATTTGACATATTTTGAAGCAACAAAGCAGTGAATCTCCCTCAAATTTCTACGGGCGACAAACCTTCAGAGCGGCAGGGCGGTGCGATGCAGTTAACAAACTCCAAGACCGGCACCAAGAGGCGGCTAGACCGGCGGGCTTGCGGACAGCGGCGAGGACCACAGGGCGGCAGGGTCGTGGTGTTGCTGCGGACGGCGGCGAGGAGCGAGGGGCAGCAGGTCCAGCCGTGGTGTTGCTGATGGCGGCGAGGAGCGAGGGGCGGCAAGGTCGTGCTGCCCGGACGGCGGCGAACGGAGCCGGTCACAATCTCGTCTCTCTCACGAGCCCTGGCCATTATGTCAAGGAAGCTCAACTCCTCTTGTCCGTACAGGTAAAACTCAGCAGACCGTATGCACACCTTGTTTTCCTGTAACATACGATTACCACGGTCAGATGAGATCTAAGGCAAGTCGGTGGTTAACTTTATAAACTAACATATGGTGCATCATTAAATAGAGATACTTGAAGTCATTGTTAGCTGGGAAGTGTGGCCTGTAGACATAGATTGTCGAAAAGGCATGATTTTGAACTATTAAAGCACAATTCAAAGCATGTCACATTTTACACAGTACCTCCTCAGCGAAGAGTTCCTCGAGAAACACTGTCGATTTGGTTGTCTTCTGCCACTATGGCTAATGAAATACTAACAAGTTCATTTGACAGAACGTAATCGCTGAATTTGGAGATAGATACAAGGTTTATTGTTCTCGAGTCCAGTATTTCACTGATTGTTATCGATTTCTCCAGTGCATGCTACATCTCCCGAATCCAGGAGCTGTGAGAAAAGCCATTGTGACGTAGATGTGATTTTGACTCCTTCAACGGAAGACGTTTGGGTTACCTGCGCACTGTCAGTTATATAGTATGTCACAGCCAGGCTGCTTGTTGCTCGCATGAACGTCATGAATTAGAAGAAGTGTAGCTAAGCACCATGAATCTAATTGTACAATGGAGTCCTCCACCAACTCATCTGCAAGAATCAAAATTTGTGGTTCCAAAGTTAGCATTGGTAGCTTCAGCACAGGTAAACTTGAGTAGAAGAAATGCAGGGCAATGCTGACTTGCCATTTTGGACCACATTGGCTGATTCATAAAAATAATAATTGTTTGAACAGAAAAGTTCAGAGCAATTTATTTATCTCTACGATGGAGCATATACTCACAGAATCAAAGGTCTCAAGAGGCAAGCTTTCTAAGTGCCACCTGATGAGAACATTCCCTTCTTTGTGTACAATTTAATGTTTGTTAGTCCAAAAATATCCATACTATCATCAGTCAGTTTTTCTCCCTCTTCTTCTCTTCCACCTCATTAAACATCCACAATTCAGATCCTGGAGCAAGAAATGCTTCTAGAACCTACACAACAACACCAACATTAATATCCAGAATTTGCTGAAGCGTACATCAATCCTGGCAAAATGTCAAGGTTAACTTACCATTATCATACCGTGGATAGCACATCGCCAACCACAGAATAAAATTATACCTGGATACTTAGGAAGGGTGAGAAGGTTTGGTAGAAAACCCTTATGCCTCTGGTGAGAAATAACTTTGATCAAATTTAAATCTAGGTGAATAGGAATTTTTTATCTGGGCCATATGACTTTCTTGAAGATAGTTGGTACAAAGACAGTAAATATTAGACATCATGAAGCATGACTCAGAAAATTCACCTCTGATAGAAGGACCGTATTACTCAGAAAATTCACCTCTGTTGGGCATTTATACGTCTTACTGGTGAAATTGCTCAATCCCTTTGGTTGAAACACGCAAACACTGGCAAATGTGAAACAGAGTCTAAGAGGGCCAACATTCTGAACGCAAAACGGTAGGTAGTGTGTAGTCTGCAAATTAGGAATAGTTGAGCTTACTTGCTTGCTTCTACGCTCGCACTTGGCCGCCAGGAAGCAGAAGAGGACCGGGGCGCGGCGAAAGGAGCGGGAGGAACGGCGGCCCGCGACCAAGGGCGCGGCTCCGGCGGCCAGCGGCTCCCGGCGACCCGCGGC